TTAAAAACTTCACTTGTAATGTAAAGTATATTACCAATAAATGATTCAACAATAGAATCGATTTAATATCGAATACGAATCGATTGATATGAATTTGATTAAATCGCATAATTGCTATTATTATAGCTATCCCATCTATTCTGCGAATAAACTTCTTACATCTGTCATCATCAACTTGCCCTTATCCCTTATGGAGGGTCGTTACAGTATATGCTGCTCTTCCATATACCTCTATCAGCCGTCATATCTGAAACCACTCCTTTCTTAAGCATATCCTCTTTCACACAATCCATCCATACTTTCTTCGGTCTTCCTCTTCCTTTGTAGCCATCCACATACATTCTTAACACTTTCCGGTTTATGTCCCCATTGTCTCGTCGCATAACATGTACATCTGTATTGCCCCGTTTTATCTCCAAATTGTAGTCGACTTTTAAAAAAGTTCAATGTCAAGGTTCGTCACAGTCCATTAAAAATCCTTCAATGAATAAGTCCCTTTTTTGATAGACCTGGCGTGTATGGACATTGGCCTACATTCGCATCCGGCGCAAACGATTCACATCACAATTGACTTGTAAAACGATACTGTTGAATAAAAAAACGCATAATAGTACAATTTGCATAACACATTCTGTTGGGTTTACATCTGTTACGTAACTGTCTGCCGTTATTTTTTATTTAAAACTACTAAAGCCGTATATACAGTAATAAGTTTCTATTTAAATATATCGCTAACTTTTTTATCTTTACCTATGTTATGATTGATATTAACAATTCATCGTCTCTTATTCAGACCGAGATATTTGTCTCAATGGTCGAGACAATGAAATTTTTTCATCCATAAACGATAAAACAATCATTGTTTCCGACCGTACGAGATTTAATATGGCGCTTGACGTAAATACATTTGAACAAACTAGTTATTTTAGCTTAACGTTTTATAAAAATAAGTAATAAATTACATTTTTTTTTATATTGGTTATATAATAAAATTTTTCCATGAATCTAAGCTAAGAATAGTCATCACTCTGCCATTAAAAGTAAAATAATAACAAATATATGTAAATTCTCTATTAAAAAAAAATTAAAAACTAAGACAACATAGAATCAGTAAGATTTGCATTTGCATCATCAAATTGAATTAAGGACACTCTAATTCGAACATAAATCGATCATGAGTGCGACAACATTCGACCATTATGTAGAAAGCAAGATAAAGCCAATTTTTCATCGGGCGGAACGAGTGGAGCGTTTGTGTACATGTGTGCACTATTTACGTACAGAGCTCACAGCTGTGCCGGGTCAATGAACTCGCTGCGCGCGAAACAAGGTGAATCGTAACTTCTTCGCTTTTTGTTTGACCGTAACTTGACTCCCAATGACATTATTATAATGAAATGTGAATACGATTGTAACCAAGGGATCATTATTATTACGTAATTATTGTTTTTGTCTTGATGCTAACTAAATTAGCAGCTTAACGATTATTTACCCTAAAAAGCGCCACGTGTTAAAGTTTTATGTTATTCAAAAATCCTTACAAAATTTTGATCGAAACAGTTTTTAAATTTTAAATTTCGAACAGAGTGACGTTCGTAAATAACTTATCGATTGAAACTTCGATACTTTGGGTATCCGATTAAATTGGAAGCGGCACACGCAATTTCGGCACGATCAAAGAGAACTCCCGAAAAGTACTGCGAGCAGAAATTACAACACTTTCGTGTACAACTTGTTTTACTTTGTTTCAAACAATTCGACCTCTCGAAAACCTTTAACTCAATTAATGAAACATTTTAATTTGATCTTATTTATACACCACATTTTGTATGAACGATAGTTATTTAATTTTATTAATAAAAATAAAGGGATATTTTCATATTTTGATCTCTATCATGTTTTATTCTACTCAACATTTAACGTTGTTTTAACAGAGCTTGGAAAAATTTCAAACGAGGAAAATAAATGCATATGCACTGTGATCGATAACTAGGTATGTAAATAATTCAGTTTAGTGAAAGTGGACAAATATTTTATGTAAACGATATGCGGGTGTTATAATGTGCTTATTCCAGCGTATTTACGCTTGAATATGCGTCATTACTTCGTAGAAGGTGAACATGCGTTAAATATATTAAGATTTGAAAAATTATTGTACTTCTTTAGAAATCGCGTGACGACATTTCTCGCTAATAAACAGGAAAGACGATTACGTTTACATTAAGAATTAACAAAATTAGTCACCATTGTTTTATGCTAGTATACGTATATGTACTAGTAATCGAATAGAATCGATAATATTCTACAGTTATTATTACTTTCTAAGCAATACTAATCTAAACTTTTTAATCAAGACTTCAAAACTACTGAACCGATTCCAAAAATTCTTTCACTAGTAGAAAACTATATTACCTACTTAATATAACACTAGTTTTTACTAGCTATAAAATTGTATTTTAGGTAAGAACGATCTTGGACAGCGAAACCCAGACTGACAATATGAAATCCTGCGTAGTAGTGATTTGAGATAGGAGATGACACGCCTCGTTATTCATTGGTTCGTCGGTACTGAGCGGCACGGTTTCGAAACTACGACCGCAAGATCGTAAATCAGTAGTCCAGCTATCTCATTCTTAATAAAACATTATTTATTAGTCCATCGTTTATATAATATATGCATTTGAAAACATGTCGAGGCCTCGAATTATTAAATGATTAAGAATCCTTTAAATTACATATTTTATTATATAAAGGATACGTATGTAAGTAATTGATGAATTTACGAGAAATTTTACATATTTATAGCTGAGCACATCTTGGAAATATCAAATGGGATTTAAAAATATATTATCAGGTTTTACTGGAGTTTAACAGTTTTGGAGTTTGGAGTTTTGTTTTAGTATATTTTCCTCAGTTTTATTTGTAAAAATGTGACAATTAAACTTTGTCAAAGAGTTTAATTTACAAATATATTTTAATCCAATAACTAGAATATTATAAACATTAGCTATAGTGTGTTG